TGTAAAGTCAGTGATCTCAGTGCAATTTATGCATCAATGTAATTCTGGTTTTCCACCAAATTTTGTATTCTTGGTGCCATTACCTTCAGAAAAAGATTTCCTACCATTTCAGTTTTTAAGGAATTCTAGTGAAATAGCAGAGTTTGGTCAACTGGAATAATGGAATTGGACGCAAAGTGGGTGAAATCAACAGTGCGTAAATATTGCCTAAACTGCTAACTTTGCAAGTGTGTGATTTCATAAGTTTTTTTTTTTTTTTCTTAAGAAATTTTGTGCTTGGCTTCGTTACCTTCAAAAGATTGTCATTTCAATTTATTTTTATGGACCCTGAGAACAATTTCCACATCAGGGGTCTGGATCCGGAAAGGGTTAATCCCTTAACTGTCCAAACGTAGATCTACATTCTAACCACTAGTGCTCCAAACATAGATCTACGTTTTATTTTTCCTGCCTCCAAATTTGGCATGATTGGCCTGAGATGCCTGGTCATCATAGAATGGGTCTTAACACTTGGTGTGCGCAGTATTAAAAAAATCTGGGACCACTTAGTACCTTGTGGGAGCACCAGTTCAATTGAGTGCCAGCTAGAGCAAACAGCATGGCAAACACCTGGGATTCACTGATCTCCTGTAGTATTAACTCTCCCATTTTAAGAGGAAAGTGATGTTGATCCTGAGTTTAATGGCTTTGAGGTGGATGTAGCCACAAGTGTTTGAGGAAATGTCAAAAACCTCGATAAGAACCCATGTGCAACACCCTTACAATTTTGGTACAACTGGTGGTGTTATCCTGCTAGAATGTCTTATAACCTATGCCCTAAGTAAAGAGAAACAATTCTGGAATGTGCAGTACATGTTTGGCAGGCAGGCAGGCTGACTTGGCTGGCTGATTGACTTTGGCTGTCTCTATCTCTGTCTATCTGTATCCATATCTGTCTCTCTGTCTCACAGGTACACATAAATACAATTATACATAATGTAAATTACCTAGGATAACCCAAAAAATCCAGACAGTGCTATACTGTGCTTGTAGATACAATGCATAGTAAGCATGACTGGCAAGTAATACATATTTACACTTGCTCAGGAATCAAACGTGATGACTGCATCGTGTGTAATACCGGGTGGTTCATGAGTGGCTCTCTGAGACAGACAGAGAGGCAAGCAGACAGAAAGATAAGCAGAGACAGAGATAAACAGAGAGATACACACACACATGTTTGTGTAAAGTGAAAACAAATAAAGCCAAGGCAGTGCACACTCATCAAATGTCACCACTGCTGTATTGTCAGCAGTGGAGTGACACTCATCTTACACCATGCTTCAAGGAGTTTCATATATACTCCAGCATGTCTAAAACATTGCTGGGACCTATAAATACTTTGTATATATTTCTAGACAATAGTAGGTGACCAAGGCAAGTGAAAATGTTCACCTGTCAGTGTGTTTATGACTACTATTTCAGTACCTAATGCAGTGGACCCCCGGAAGTATGTTCAGGTGCCAGTACTGACCGAATTTGTTCCCATAAGGAATATTGTGAAGTAGATTAGTCCATTTCAGACCCCCAAACATACACGTACAAATGCACTTACATAATTGGTCGCATTGGGAGGTGATCGTTAAGCGGGGGTCCACTGCATTAGTGTCAGAACAAAGATTAGCTATGAAATCACAAGAACTACTACAAATTGTAATTATCAGAACATAAAAATTATACAGACTAAAAAAAAATTAGAATGAAAGGTATATCGGCAACACTTCTGCAAGGGACAGTGCTTCATGTTGCCATCAGGTGAGCGACAAGCGCCAACCTTGCAGCCTTATATCTCCGTAACTACTGACTCTAAAATTAATTTTTTTACATGTAAAAAAAAGTCCTCATTTTTTTCCCCAAAAATATTCAAAGCACTGGGCGAGAGAACGTAGATCTACGTTTGGACAGTTAAGGAGTTAAATAGAACTTTTTGAACTTTTACATTAGAATTTAATATGAAGGAAGGCGATTAAGATAGAGGGGACTGAGCTTATAGGATGTGGGATTACATTTTACAGATTGTGTAGCAACCTGAAACAGAAATGCTGGCTCTAAATAAATCCATGATGTAAAGCACAAGGAAAAAAGTCTGAAGGTTTGGAGCAAGTATGGTAACCCATACAGCAAGCACCAAGGACTTCTCTTGTATGTAATCCTTACATAGCCACAGCAAGTACTTTAGGCAGTACCAGCTGTATTTCATGTACCCTTACTTGAAGAGGCCAAATTGTAATTTTTTTTTTTAATCACACAGAATTTAATGTAGAATTATTTGCAGAATTTTAATTTGTTAAAACCTCTAGGAATTTTGAGGGAGCACTGTACTTTCATTTAACCTCCTTTAATGACACAAAATCATAATGACACAATTGCAAACCACCTTTAATGCTAGCTTCATTACTTTTATACAGTATATGCAGATCCATCCTTTGGCTTGCATATGCTGTAGAATTGTTGGTATTTGAAAAGTGTAAGCAAGTGGATTGTAAAAATATCTGGGACATAAATGAAATTTCTGCAGATGTCTAACAACTTTTCATAGTAGTTATTATTTTATACCCTGCATCTTGGTTTCCCTAATTTGGCATAATCTTCTATCTCCACTATCTCAGGCCTAGAACATATAATCATACTATATCTAAATTCTTAATAAACTAGTAACTTCTTAGGAGACGGTTGGAGGCAGTGGAGATGTCCTGTCTAAGGGCAATGTGTGGTGTAAATATTACGCAGAAAATTTGGAGTGTGGAAATTAGGAGAAGGTGTGGAGTTAATAAAAGCATTAGTCAGAGGGCAGAAGAGGGGTTGTTGAGGTGGTTTGGTCATTTAGAGAGAATGGATCAAAGTAGAATGACATGGAAAGCATATAAATCTATAGGGGAAGGAAGGAGGGGTAGGGGTCGTCCTCGAAAGGGTTGGAAAGAGGGGGTAAAGGAGGTTTTGTGGGCGAGGGGCTTGGACTTCCAGCAAGCATGCATGAGCGTGTTAGATAGGAGTGAATGGAGACGAATGATACTTGGGACCTGACGATCTGTTGGAGTGTGAGCAGGGTAATATTTAGTGAAGGGATTCAGGGAAACCGGTTATTTTCATATAGTCGGACTTGAGTCCTGGAAATAGGAAGTACAATGCCTGCACTTTAAAGGAGGGGTTTGGGATATTGGCAGTTTGGAGGGATGTGTTGTGTATCTTTATACGTATATGCTTCTAAACTGTTGTATTCTGAGCACCTCTGCAAAAGCAGTGATAATGTGTGTGGTGAAAGTGTTGAATGATGATGAAAGTATTTTCTTTTTGGGGATTTTCTTTCTTTTTTGGGTCACCCTGCCTCGGTGGGAGACGGCCGACTTGTTGAAAAAAAAAAAAATTAAGAAGACTGTTTCCAGTTAAAGTATCTTTGCCTTAAATATTAAACTTTAGTCTTACTGTACTGAAAAATTATCTTGATCTTGAACACCCTACTACTATAGTTTTTTTCTCTAGTCCACACCACATTTGTGAACCTCTTAAGTTAATAGCACATAATTATGAAGTATTTATCAAATACAATGCTCACTTTTGTTTCCTTCATTCTTCTGCATCAGCCTTTTTTTTATACATTGATATTGTATGGTTACTGCAAGCAAGTGGTAATTTTTTTTTTGCCAATGTTAATGTTCATGGGGGGAGTGAAAACTCGTAGGGAGTAAGTGCCTGGGAAACGGAAGACATTCAGGTTTGATTTAGGAAATTGGAGCATTTGCCAATATTAATCAATTTGTGCCATTTATCAGTTCCAAGTACATTATGATAACTGAATACAATGGACCCTCGACCAGCGATATTAATCCGTTCCTGAGAGCTCATCGTTAGTCGAAATTATCGTTAATCGAGTTAATTTTCCCCATAAGAAATAATGGAAATCAAATTAATCTGTTCCTGACACCCCAAAGTATTGAAAAAAAAAATTTTACCACATGAAATATTAATTTTAATACACACATTGAAGAAGACATGTACAATTACATGACACTTAGCTTTATTGAAGATCTGGTGATGATTTGATAGGATGGGAGGAGGGGAGTGTGTGAATGGTGTTAGTGTTTAGAAGGGGAAACCCTTCCATTAGGACTTGAGGTGTCAACCCATTTTCCGGGGTTACTTCCCTTCTTCTTTTAATGCCACTAGGACCAGCTTGAGAGTCATTGGACCTCTGTTGCACAACATATCTGTCCATAGTTCTGTACCTCCCATTCCTTTACGATGTGTCTAAAATGGGCCACAACATTGTCATTGTAATAGTCACCAACACGGCTTGCAATAGCTGTGTTAGGGTGATTTTCATCCATAGAGGTTTGCAGTTCAACCCACTTTGCATCTTTGAAGTAGGCACAATGGATTCCACAACTGGCATAGGCATTTCAGGGTTAGCCCCAAACCCTTCAAAATCTTTCTTAATTTCCATACTAATTCTCACCCTTTTTATCACAGGGTTGGCACTAGAAGCTTTCTTGGGGCCCATGGTGACTTATTTTGCAGGTGCAATCACTAAAAACGCTGTGATAATATGAAATGTTCCGATTGTATGTTTGGATGTGACCGCGGTGGCTGATTGTAAATGCTGCGCAGGCTACACGTGGACGCGTCTCGAACAGAACGAATTGCGTTGGTTGAGTTTTTTAGCGCTAGTAGAGGCAAAATTTTTGCGTTAAAATGTATCGCTAGTCTCATTTAACGTTATACAATGCCATCGTTGGTCGAGGGTCCACTATACTTAACAAATTTTCTGCATGAACTACCCTCTGCAAGCAGAAATATTGATTGATATACTTAGTGTGCATATGACCCTGCATGAACCATAAATGAACTAATATTCTATTTTCATTTAAACATTTTTGTATGAGAACCTATCTTTGCATCTGAAGAGAAATTAAAACAATCACAGTTTTGTACATAAAGAATGTTTGATCCAATCCTATCCACAGGTTTGCAAATCCAACCTAGAGGGCAAGAGCTTCTATGCCAAGAACGGCCGACCCTTCTGCAAGTCCCATGCTGGCCGCTAAACTCCAGTCTGGCTGAATCTTGCTTGGTGCTTTGATCCGACATTTAACCATACTCCTGAACCACCCTCGATTACCTTTTAACTAGTCCAGTTGTGTGATGTGCCTTGAGTCATCATCCTTGTTTTCTTGTATCTTAATTGATATTTAAATTTGTTACCAAGTATGAGGGGGTAGGGTCTCAAGGAGGGTTTTGGAATATGGAAAATAGAGCTTTTTGAATGTTGAGATTAATTATTTAAAGATTCTTTCTAAATTCAATCCACTGCAACATATTTGATTAATTTCTAATTTATTGATAGTATATATAGTCTTTGTCTCACAAATAGCTAATTAGCTATGCATAGTTTTAATCTTAGAACATACTATGTGAGCAAATTACTCTGCAATCAGTAGTACAAATTGTGCTGCATAAAAACACAAAAAACTAATACTACAGTAGCTGCCAGTGACCTGAGCTTGGGTCTACTTTGAGCAGTAAGATACACCTTCAATCCTCATGTCCTGTCTTTACCTTTGGCCAGATATTGTTGGTGGGCTCGTGTCCACGCTTACCCTTTGCTACAGCACTATTGTCTTTACACTTTGTCTTATTCCACAGGCAATTTAGATGCACAGTATTTGCAGCACACCATTAACCAAGAAATCTTTCACATTAGTGTGCATAATATAGTAGTAACTAGCCTCTAACCTGCAGAAATGCCACAAGAACTTGGAGGGCCAGAGCTTCTTCGCCAAAGGTGGAAAGCCTTTCTGCAAGGCTCATGCCCAACGTGGTTTCTAAGCTGCTTAGAGCAGTCTGCAGGTCCCATCGTGACTTCCTCCTAAGGGTAGGGAGGGGGTTCACCTGCTTCCATTCGCAAGCAACAGAAACTACAATGTCATGGGTTATGCAAGTGCCATCTGTAGAAGCAGTGTCAACAGCAACAGATTTCCACAACTCTTTTACTTATTTACTCCTACTTCGACTGTTGATTAACATAAATCAAGTTCTTTGAAATTGACAAATGTCAAAGCACATCTCTACAAGAATTACCATTTTTCAATGTCTTGATGTACCATACTTGTCATTTAAAATACATATGCCATGCATTATAAAATGAACATTACAGCTTTTGGTTAATGTTGCCTTCTGATGGCAGAGTGAGTTAACCACCTTTCTGTTGCATTTATTTGTCTCAATTCAATATGACAAAATCTATCTGTAAGGTTGGATTTATATATATAATGTGCAGAAATGATCACCAGTGATAGTCAGTGCCTTGATTTTTAAACTATTATTGTAAGTATACATAATCTTTAGTACCTAGATAAAGGTTTGGTAATCCAGAGAAATGCAGACATAATACAGTATACTGTAGTTAAATTAGACACGTGCAACTCTTGGGTATCTTTATTGAGGAAACGTTTCGCCACAGTGGCTTCATCAGTCCATACAAAGGATAAACTTGAAGAACAGGAGGAGAATGAGGTAATCTGTCCTCAACCTTGAGTCGATGTGGTCAGTCCATCAATCTAAAATAGAATACATATAGATGGACTGACCACATCGACTCAAGGTTGAGGGACTGATTACCTCATTCTCCTCCTGTTCAAGTTTATCCTTTGTATGGACTGATGAAGCCACTGTGTGGCGAAACGTTTCCTCAATAAAGATACCCAAGAGTTGCACATGTCTAATTTAACAACGTGTCGATTCTTTGAACCATTCATCTACAAACAGTATACTGTACATGAAAGGTCTACAAGTATACAATGGTCTAAACTGTATACTGTAGAATGGAAAGGTTTAAACTCATTTGTTTCTTGTACTATTGATTTTGCCATTGCTTTAGGTATTGTCCAGTCCTTGCTGTTCACTGTATAGAGAAATATATAAATTGTGAATAACATGTTACACAAGCTATTATTGTATATATGATTTTCTTAAAATGAAGAATATTTATCTAAAAAAAACATTATACAAAACATCTCAGCAACAAGAATCCAACTCGGTTATGCTTGCTTAGTCTCCTGAATGCCGTGTGTTGTCTGTCCCAGTTTCTGTTGATTGATGTTTACACGCACTGAAAGCAGTCTTCGTGAATTTAAGAGGGAATTCTAAGTTGTATGCTATCTATAGAGCTTGCTTAAGGGCCAATAATTCACACTGCCTATGACCCTGTAGCAAACAACTTGAGGCTTATATATGTAGATTATTTTAAATTTCCGAAGGCTGAATGCAAAAAAAAAAAAAAAAAAATTTAACAACTATTAAAATGTTGTTGCGTGCTTCTTTGTCTTCTGACCCCTCTTTAATAGGGGAATATAAACGAAAATAGACATGTATAACATTGTTTTATTCTCCTATGAACTGCTTGAATAATGTACTGTAGGACCTCAACTTAAAACATTAATGCACTCCCAAAAATTCCTTGTAAGTAGTGTTTGACATTTGGACCTCTTCAAGGGGGGCTCCTTGGCATGGTGAAGAGGCTCTTGGTCTGAGGAATTAGACCTGTTGGTCTACTTCCTCAGACCGAACCTAATTACCCCCCAATCCCCCGTTCCCTATCCCATCCTCCCCTTTTTCCTTTCCTCCTCCCCACCCCTCCCTTTTGCCCTTCCTTTTTGGCCTTTGGGCGTTTTTTTTTTTTTCCCCCACAGGCACGCTAGTTCCTAGGTAGGGGAAAGGGTACCGGGGTCCATCCCATTCCGTTGAGGTTCTTGGCAGTGGCGTAGTTTGCCGTGGAATCTGGATTGCCTGGGGATGTCCTGATCCCTCTCCGGTATCCCGGAGGGTGGCTTTGGGTGTCTCTCGGGCGACGGGTGTATCTCTGGAAGCCACCTTTCAGATTCCGGGGGTGGTGGCCGAAGGAGGTATGCTTTGTGGCGGATTTCCGGCCGCCCTCTCTCGTCCACCGAGGTAGCTCGGCAGATGTGAGGTTGCTATCCCGGATTGCCGGTTTACTGGCATGATGGGTAGAGTATGGCACGGGTTCCATGCTGCATCTGCGGTGCCGAGGTCCTCTTCGCCACGGAGGGAGATTTCTGGCCCTTTCATTCCTCCTAGGAACTATCCCTCCCCGGTCCCCCCTTTTTTTTATTCTTTTTTTTTTTTTTTAAAAAACAAAAAGAAAGAAGTAACCTAACCATGGCAGCCCTAGTCCATGAACCTGCTACCCCCGGACCCCTTCTTGATACCGCACCCCGTTCTGACCCCGCCTTGTCTTTGGACCACTCTTCGGACACTCCTCATACCTCTGTACCTCTTGCCGGTGCTGTTTCCTCACCTGCTTCAGGTACTGAGGCCTCGACTGACTCCTTCAATTTATCTGACCTTCGCTCTCCTCTATGCTTCCGGCCTCTCCCTCTACGGTGCGGCAATTTTCGAATCGCCGGCCCGTTCCACGTCAAAACCAACTCTGGTCCCACGCCTAAACGCCAACGACAATTACCTGCTGATGATACTTCTCCACCTTCCGTTCTTCTCAGAAAAGATCGACACATCCTTCACTACCTTTCCACGCTCAGTTTCAGACTGCACAATGGACTAAATTCTTCACTTTACGACCGACTTCCTCTACTGCCTACTTTCTGACCACAGTATTGGCAAGGCACTCCTACGCCATGTTGGTAAAGATATTTCTTTTCATGCTCTTAAGAGGGGTACGGCGCATCGTCACCGTACAAAAATGCTACCCAGGCTCATGAGTTTTTTCCCCGTCTTTCCCATATCGATACTGTTCCTGTAACTATTGAAAAGCATCATTCCCTCAATTCTTGTAGTGGTACCGTCATTCTGGCCCCATACCATAGTTCAACAAAATTTCCAGACATGTGGCACTGACATTCTTGAACAGCTGGAACTCCAAGATCTCCCAATCCTCAAGTAGACACTTATGTTCTTCCTGCCTGCGGGCAGAGACTATACCCTAGCAAATGTGGCTCTTTTAAACTTTTGACAGCCGTGAACTCCCATCCTCAGCTTATGTAGCAGGACATCGGTTACAAGTTCGAAAGGTGATCCCTACACTGCAACAGTGTAGAAATTGCTGGTGATTTGGCCACCCCACGAAATATTGCAGATGTATCGCCGAATGCCCAGTCTGTGGTGCCGATGACCATTCTAATACGTCTTGCAATCGACCTCCCTCTTGCCTTAATTGTCATGAGGCTCACCCTTCGTACTCTCGCCGTGTCGAGTCTACTTAAACAAAGCAGGAAATCCGTTACCTCAAAGAGGCAGAAGGTCTCCCCTTATGCCATGGCATTTTTCTCATCTCCGCCTCCAAGGGAGACTACCTCGTGTTTCTTATTCCCGTGTTTCAAAACTCCCCCCACTTCTGGTATCCCATCTTCTGCACCCACCTCTGTGGTTACCTCTCCCTAGTCACTCCTGTACTAATTCTTTTGCTGTCCTCGCTCAGACGTCCCTACTTCAACGCTCAGTCTGATCTTGCTTCTTCGTGTTCTCTCTCAGTAGCGATGAATCTCGTATGACACCTCCTCCAATCGTCCCTCTACTTCTCAAAAGTCAAAAAAAGGTCCGTTAACACCTCCTACCCATCTTCCACCTCCTCATTTTCCCTTCCCTGTCTCTGTACCTGGGTTTTTTCCCCCTCTCCTGGCTCGGTTACAAGTGTAGAGGGTTTACCCTCCTCCTCGTACTGCACCTTCCTCCCCTGTCCCTCCCAAGTTTCTTCCTCTTCTGCCACCTCCCAGGTTTCTGCCTCTTCTGTCCCCTTTTCCACGCTTCTCCAGTTCCCCCCCCACCCTTTCGCCCCCCCCTACCTTGTACAGTCCATTACAGTTCCAATCTTCACTCATCCTCCCCCTAAACCCTTTCCAATATTGTCTCCCATACGACATCTCTGAATTCTGAAACACTTGAAGCAATCTCTGATATATTGCAGAGACCAAACCATCAAAGGACACTGATCCACCCTCCGCTCCTTCTCTCTCCTCTACTCCATCTGCGGGAACCCTTTCTTCACACCGCACTGTTCTTTCGCTGCTTGAACGTTTTCCACTGCCTCCGCATGTGGACTTTCTAACCCCTCTAGTCCCTAGGAAACCTTACCTGCGGATTTTAGGTATCTTTATCATGGCCATTTACAGTGGAATATACGCGGCCTCGGGGAACGGGTGAGCTTCAGATGTTACTCTCCCAGTTTTTTCCCCTGTTGGTGTTTTGCTTACGGAACCAAAATTACACTCTGCTGTTATCTCTCCCATCTCAGGCTATAATTTTTTTGTATTCTTCAGATCCTTTTCCTGATGGGACCTTTAATGAAAGTGCCCTTCTTCTACGCACTGAATATTCCGTACCATCAGCATTTGTTTGTACTTCGCTGCATTACACAGCAGCCCCTATCCACTTGCATAGGGGGTATAAACCCCTTTCTTTCTATCTCTCTCCCCTTCTCGGGCATTATCTATTCCGGATATTGCCTTTCTTGTTTCGTCATTACCACCACCGATTCTGTTACTTGGTGATTTTAATGCCCACCATTTCCTGTGGGGGGGGTCTCACTGTGATTCCCGTGGCATTCAGTTAGAGGCTTTTCTTGCCACCCATCCCCTCCATGTTTTAAATACAGGTACTCACACCCATTTTGATCCTCGGACTCACACTCTCTCTTGCATTGATCTCTGTCTACTCTTCCTCCGGTCTGTTCTTCCGGACTTACATGCCAGCGATCATTTCCCAATCATTCTTACTTCCCCTTCATATTCACCACCTCTTCGCATCCCACGCTGGCAATTTGATCAGGCAAATTGGAACCTTTACTCACACCTAACTGTTTTTAGAGAGGTTCCTTTTTCGTCCTCCATTGATGAGCTTTTACACCTCTTCTCGTCCTCCGTTTTAACCGCAGCTTCTCATTCTATACCCCAAACTTCGGGCAGGCATTCTCAGAAATGCGTGCCTTGGTGGTCTCCTGCTTGTGCTCATGCAGTACGTTTGAAACGTGCTGCATGGGGCAGGTACCGTTACAATAGAACCACAGAGATACTTCTTGATTTTAAGCAGAAGCGTGCGATCGCTCGCCGTGTCATCCGTGACGCTAAACGCACTTGCTGGCGAGATTGTCTCCACCATCACCTCTGCTTCCTCTGAGTGCAATCTGGAAAAAAGTACGAAAACTGAGTGGTAAATATTCTCCTGACCCGGCTCCTGTTCTGCGGGTTGCCGGTGTTGATATAGCAAACCCACTAGATGTTGCCAATGAAATTGGCAATCATCTGGTCCGTATTTCTCAGGGACTCCATCTATGCCCCTCATTTCTTTCCTCAAAGTCTGCCAGAGAGTTAGCACCCTTGGACTTTTCTTCTCTCAGAGAAGAACAGTATAATGTGCCTTTTACACTTCAAGAACTGGAGGCAACACTCTCAGCTTGCCGATCATCGGCAGCGGGGGCCCGACGACATTCATATTCGTATGCTACAACATTTACATCAGTCAGCCCTTGCAGTCCTATTACGCCTTTACATTCTTATTTGGTCACAAGTTCTTCCACACCTGTGGAAATCCGCCATTGTTCTCCCTTTCCGCAAACCAGGCACTACGGGACATGAAACCTCCCACTATCGTCCCATTGCTCTTACCAGTGCAGTTTGCAAAGTGATGGAACGCCTAGTAAATAGACGTTTAGTGTGGTATTTAGAGACACACGACAGTCTCTCCACTCGTCAATATGGCTTTCGTAAGGGACGTTCTACCATAGACCCCTTACTATGCTTGGATACGTATGTTCGTAATGCCTTTGCGAATAACCACTCGGTTATTGCCATATTTTTTGACCTTGAGAAGGCATATGACACAACTTGGAGGTATAATATTTTAGCCCAAGCCCACTCCTTAGGCCTTCGAGGCAATCTTCCATCCTTCCTTAAGAACTTTTTAACGACTGGCATTTCCGTGTTCGGGTTAATAATGTGCTCTCCCCGGACTTTATCCAAGCTGAAGGTGTCCCCTAGGGATGTGTTCTGAGCAGAACACTTTTTCTCCTTGCTATTAATGATTTGGCCTCTAGTCTTCCATCAAATATTTGGTCATCACTCTATGTTGATGACTTCGCTATTGCCTGTGCAGGCGCTGACTGTCATCTTATTACAGTTTCTCTCCAGCATGTAGTCGACCGTGTTTCCAATTGGGCCACCACACGTGGGTTTAAATTTTCCAGCACTAAAACCCACCAAATTACTTTCACTAGATGCTCTGTCATCTCCGATCATCCTTTGTACCTCTATGGCTCCCGTATCCCTGAACGTGATAGTCAAGTTTCTGGGACTCCTCTTTGATCGTAGGTTATCCTGGAAACCTCTCATTACCTCTCTGAAGGCAACTTGTCACAGCCGGCTGAACCTTCTTAAAACCCTTGCTCATCTTTCATGGGGAGCTGATCGTCGAACCCTACTTCACCTACATTCCACCCTTATTTTATCGAAACTTGATTATGGTGACCAGATCTATTCAGCAGCATCTCCTGCTACTCTCTCTAGCCTTAACCCCATTCATCACCAAGGATTACGTTTATGCCTTGGTGCTTTTCGCTCTTCCCGTCGAGAGCCTCTATGCAGAAGCGAACGTTCCATCCTTATCCGATCGCCGTGATGCCCATTGCCTTTGCTACTATGTACGCTCTCATGATCTCCGCAATCCTTCCATTTATAGAATGGCCACTGATATTAGTAGACATTCTTTATTTGTTCGCCGCCCCTGTTTACTCCGTCCCTTCTCTCTTCGCCTTCATTCGCTCTTGTCTTCTCTTCAATTACCACCTTTCTATGTACATGTAGCATTTCACTTTTCCCTACCCCCCTGGGAAGTTCCAGCTGTTCGAGTCTGTTCTTTCTCTCTCCCTTGCTCGAAAGCCCAACTGTCTATGGTCGCTTCCCGCTCTCTTTTTCTTGACCACTTTCACTCTCATTCTCGTGCCATTGCTGTGTACACAGATGGCTCTAAGTCTTCTGATGGCGTAGGATTCGCAGCAGTGTTTCCGGACAGCGTCGTACAAGGGCATTTACTATCTTCGGCTAGTATTTTTACTGCTGAATTGTATGCCATCCTTACAGCACTTATCCGTATTGCATCTATGCCTGTGTCATCATTTGTGGTTGTCTCAGACTCCCTTAGTGCTTTAAAGGCTATACAGAAATTTGATACACCTCACCCCTTAGTCCTCCGTATCCAACTTTGGCTACGCCGCATCTTTACCAAGCATAAAGATATTGTTTTTGTTGGGTCCCTGGTCATGTTGACGTACAGGGCAATGAACAGGCAGACACTGTTGCGCGGTCAGCAGTACATGACCTACCAGTTTCATGTAGAGGTATTCCATTTACGGACTATTTTGCTGCAATATCTTCCCAACTTCACACCCGTTGGCAACAACATTGGTCTACTATGCTCGGCAACAAACTTCAATCTATTAAACCGAGTATAGGTTACTGGGCGTCTTATCACCAGTGTCGAGGTTGGGAGACTACTCTCTCCCGTCTTCGCATTGGCCATACTCGTCTTACTCATGGATATCTCATGGAGAGGCACCCTGCTCCTCTCTGTGAGAATTGCCAAGTTCCATTATCAGTCAGCCACATTCTGTTGGACTGCCCACTTTATTAACGAGCACGCAGAATTTACCTCCGTCGTCTTCGCTCTGCTGCTCTCTCTTTACCTTTCCTTCTCGCTGATGGACCCACCTTTCATCCAGACACTCTCATTGACTTTTTGACAACAACTGACTGACTTCACAGATTCTGATACCTTCAGCCCTTTCTACTTCAATCTCTTGCTACCCTCTACCCCCGTACTATCCCCTGCCCCGCTGTTTTCTGTAACCTACTGATTATCCCTCCTCCCTTCTGCCATCCAATACCCTCACTTCCTTCCCTACCCTGCAGTGCTGTATAGCCCTTGTGGCTTAGCGCTTCTTTTTGATTATAATAATAATAATAATTGACATTTGGAACATTGTAATCTGGCATTTGTGTAATTTTGGTTCACTTTTTCCAAAGACCTCTTCGAGGGGGGGCTCCTTGGCATGGTGAAGAGGCTCTTGGTCTGAGGAATTAGACCTGTCGGTCTCCTTCCTCAGACCGAACCTAATTATCCCCCCTTCCCTCTCCCATCCTCCCCTTTTTCCTTTCCTCCTCCCCACCCTTCCCTTTTGCCCTTCCTCTTTTTGGCCTTTGGGATTTTTCCCACAGGTGCACTAGTTCCTGGGTAGGGGAAAGGGTACCAGGGTCCATCCCATTCTGTTGAGGTTCTTGGTGCTGGGCCATGGAATCTGGATCGCCTGGGGATGTCCCAATCCCCCTCTGGTATTCCGGAGGGTGGCTTTGGGTGTCTTTCGGGCAACAAGTGTATCTCTGGAAGCCACCTTTCAGATTCCGGGGGTGGTGGCCGAAGGAGGTATGCTTTGTGGCGGATATCTGGCCGCCCTCTCCTTTTGTCCACCGAGGTAGCTCGGCAAATGTGAGGTCGCTGTCTCTGATTGCTGGTTTACTGGCATGAAGGGTAGGGTATGGCACGGGTTCCATGCTGCATCTGCACTACTTGCAGTGCTGAGGTCCTTTTGGGCGCGGAGGGAGATGTCCAGCCCTTTCATTCCTCCTGGGAACTATTCCTCCCTGCTTCCCCCTTTTTTTTCTTAAAAACAAAAAGAAAAGAAGTAACCTAACCATGGAGAACCCAGTCCATGAACCTACTACCCCCCGGGCCCCTTCTTGATACCACACCCAATTCTGAACCTGCCTCGTTTTTTGACCACTCCTTATGCCCCTGTACCTCTTGCTGGTGGTTTCCTCACCCGCTTCAGGTACTGGGGTTTTGACTGACTCCTTTGATTTGTCTGACCTCCGCTCTCCTTTGACTATGCTTCCAGCCTCTCCCTCTACTGTGTGGCAATTTTTGAATCGCCAGCCCGTTTCACGTCGGACCAACTACGGTCCCACTCCTAAACGCCAACGACAATTTCCTGATGATGATACTTCACCACCACCACCTTCTTCTCAAAAAAGATCAACACATCAAGCACTCCCTTGCCATGCTCAGTTTCGGAATGCACAATGGACTAAATTCTTTACAACCGACTTCCTCTATTGCCTATCTTTCCGACCATAGTATTGGCAAGGCGCTCCTCCTCCATGTTGGTAGAGATATTCCTTCCATGCTCTGAAGGGCAGTACGTGCATCATCACTGTTCAGAATGCTACCCAAGCTCATGATCTTTCTCTTTCACATATCGATCCTACGGGTTTATCGCTTCCCTGTGATCATAATAATTCACATATCGATACTATTCCTGTCACTATCGAAAAACATCATTCCCTCAATTCTTGTAGTAGTACTGTCATTCTGCCCCATACCATAGTCAAAAAGAATTTTCAGGCATGTGGCAAGATCTCCCAATCCTCAAGGTAGACACTTACGTCCTTCCTGCCCGCGGGCGGAGACGATACCCTTGCAATGTGGCTTGATTAACTTCCGACAGCCGTGAACTCCCGTCCTCGGTTTATGTAGCAGGACATCGGTTACAAGTTTGAAAGGTGATCCCTACACTGCAACAGTGTAGAAATTACTGGTGATTTGGTCACCCAGCGAAATATTGCATATCTATAGCCAAATGCCCAGTCTGTGGTGCCGACGACCATTTTAATACGACTTGCAGTCGACCTCCCTCTTGCCTTGTCATGAGGCTCACCCTTCGTACTCTCGCTGTTGCCAGGTCTACTTAACCCTTTCAGGGTCCGTCCCGTAGATCTATGGCTTCACGTTGTGTCCAAACCGTAGATCTACGCCAAAATTCTAGCGCCGTCAAATTTAGCACGAAAGCGCTCATAGGCCTACATGTGAGAACGGGTCTGCGTGGTGGGTGTGCGCCATAAACAAAAAATCTAGGCGCCCACATAGCATTGTGTGAACGCCGGCTCAGTTACCCTTGTTCAACATGCCTCGTCGCAAGTCAGCTCTCACTCCCCGGAAAATTGGGACTCTCCTCTTCCTATCTGATAGTTCTGACACTGATGGAGGTGGAAATGAAGACGAATTCTATGGCTTTGATCAGTTAGTGACCGAGGGGAATGACCAGGATATCGATAATAGTGCAGAAAACCCTGACGATCCTCAACCTTCTACCTCTGGTGTGGCCACTCGTGACTCACGGTCGGTTGTTCCTCATCGCAAGAGAAAACTAATATTTTCGCGTGGCCAGGCCTCTGACTTCAGTAATGATGATAGTGACGTGGATTGTGATTTTATTGCGCTTGACGATCATTCGAGTAGTGATAGTGAGGAATCACATTAACCAGTGAAGCGTCAGTATGTTCGCTGCCGCATGCACTCAGGTAGTGTACCCTATGCTGTGCCCAGGGGACGGAGTACATCCCGGGCCCCACACCGGTTTAG